CTGAGCGGCTAAAACTAATAATCAGTGGTATTTTCAATAGAGCCTTTCCATTTACTGTGGGTGAATTATTTAGCCCTTCGGTTTTTTTTAAGATCAGATTTAATTCCTTGTCATGTTTCCTAATTAAAAAGATTTGTGGGATTCATTTTGATTTTTTGAAAAATTCCTTCTCAGGAATGCTTATCTCGGCTCTAGTTTCATCTGCTTCTTTCACCTCTTAATTCCTGCTGGAGTTGTTAACGCGTCAGACTTCAACAGCAGGGCGGATTCTGGGGCTGTCTCTTTGTTGCCTCTTTTTCAGACGCAGGCTGGGGTCTTTATATTCAAGGCGGATGGGCACAAATGCAGCCTTTTCTCCCCCTACCCCCTCACCCTCTTTTGGCCCCTCGTCTGTCCTTTTGCACCTCCTCCCAGACTCCTACTCCTTTCTGATATGGAAGCCTGTCTTCCATATCTGTTCCTAGTGCTCCCCAAATCCAGGCTGTAAAAGTGGCCCATGGAAATAAAATAACTCATGATAATAAACTAAAATAATAGGTAATACTATAACCTGTGTCTTACCCCTTACTTGGTCCATTTTCCTGTTTTAGGAGACATTGATTCTTCTCACATCCAGCCATAATTTCAACTTGACCCTCTCTTCATCCATCACCCTGTGTCCTCCATCTGATTTTTTTCATATTTCCAGAGCAAAATGTCTCTGATCCTTGCCTCTTCCTCTCTCCTTTCCACTCGATCATTTCCTCCTAACATTCCTGGTATTCACAGATCTAAAAATCTTGGAATTACCTGGGGATCCCTGGGCTGGGTTTAGCATGGCTTAAGACATCTCCACCCTGAAGACATGTAGAAAATGTACAAGATAAAGCAAACAGTTTGGTTTTCCTGAGAAAACTAGTTACTCTGGCCACTAGACTATGGGACTGGGCCTGAAACAACCATTCATGGGGAAGCATTCCTGCATTAGGTGCTTTGCAAGAGAAAAAACTGCAGGCAATGTGCACAGAAGACAACCTACTTCAGGACTGTGAGTGTTAACAGTGCTGGTGCAGTCTGTGATCAGAAGTCTTTCAAACTCTTTGTGTCCCACAGGAAGAATCCATGGCAGGACACATGGGTGTAAAGGGAGTTTATTAAAAATTAGGAAAGGGAAATTCAAGAGGGAGCTTGGTGGGTGCAGGTGGAATCTGGAGGCCAATAGAGCATGCTTCTCTCCCCCACATACTTTAAAACTTACTCTATTTAAAACAATGGGAAGGGAGGAACCAGGTGACTTCCATCCAGTAATCAATGAGCTGGGCGGGGCATGGGCAGTTCCCTGCCAGGTGAGGGTGGTCTGGGTGTCCCTGTGCTACCTACCTAAGAGTCCCAAACTTTCCCTACTTCTAGCCTGCCTCAAGAGGTTGAGCCTCAACTATTAGACCAGCCTTGAGAAAGGTGTGGGAAGGTGGGGTGAAGTCACTTTCTATTGAAGGAATTTTAGAAAGTTCCAGCTCTTTTAGAGCTCCTCAGCAAATAAAATGTGATCATCATTAGTTACAAACCCAAATACCAGGCAGATCATTTCAATGTCAGCTTGGCATCAGTTTTTGGTATGTGGCAATACAAGCAAAAGTGAAATCGGAGACCAGGCACAGTGGCTCACACCTGTAATCCCAGCTATTTGGGAGGTAGAGATTGGGAGGATTACAGTTTGAGGCCAGCCTGGGCAAAATGTTAGCAAGATCTTATTGCAACCCACAAGCTGAGTGTGCTGGCATGTGCCCATTTTCCCAGTTATGTAAGACATATAGGTAGAAACATCATGGTTCAAGGCTAGCCTAGGCAAAAATACAAAACTCTATCCAAAAATTAATTCCAGTTAAAAAAAAAAGGGGGTGGGGGTGGGTTGTGGTGTGGTTCAAGTGGTAGAGTGTCTGCATAGCAAGCATAAGACCCTGAGTTCAAACTCTATTACCACAAGAAAAAAAGTGAAGCTGGAAGTGCAAAAGGTTTCATGTGAAATCCTCCAGCTTTAAAATCATGGCCTTTATCAAAAAAGTTTAAATATTTCTGTTCTGTTAAAGCTTTATTAGCTATTACTCTGTGATCCTAGGGTTAATTAATCATTTGAACAATTCTCACCATGCTTATCTTTAACCCAATGGTCCCAAGTCAGTAATAAGAAAAAAATCACTAAAGGTTGCACTGCTATTTTTAGTTCCCTTTCTGTTACTTAGGGACATAGCAGTACATTTGAAAATTTGTCCATCCAATATGTAAATATACCAGACGTGTTCTCCTATCCTACTCTGCAACCACCAGCCCAAGGTAACTCAGGCTTCAAGGAAACAAAGAGTGAACCAAACCCATAAAAGACTGAGAGCATGTTCTAACTTTTCTAATTAAACTTGCTTTATAAAAACATACTCCTTCTTTAAGGAAGGCTAATTCTTAAGTCATTGAAACTTCTACAGTTCACTTTTCAAGACTCATGTTATTCTGATACCAAAGCACGATGAAGATAACCCCAAAATAACAGTAATGATGTATGATTTTTATTAATTATATTTTTTCAATATGATGGATTAAACCTAGGGCCTCGTGTACATGTTAAGCATATACTCTTACCACTGAGCTACATCCCAAATTATATTGGTTTTTTTTTTTTTTTCTGAAAAACTTCTATTGCTTTTTTGCTGAAGATGGAACCCAGGGTCTGAGCATGCAAAGCAAGTGCTCTATCACTGAGCTACACCCCATTCCTCCAGTTTTTTTTGAGACAGGGTCTTGTTATGTGGTTCAGGCTGTCCTCAAACTTGTGATCTTCCTGCCTTTACTTCCTGAGTGCTGGGATTACAGGTGTGTGCCTGACATAAATGAATTTGCATCCTAAATAAAAGATGAGCAAATTGAATCAAACATAGGATTACTAAAATAATACAACACCACAAAGCAAAATTTATATCAGGAATGTAAGGATGGATTTAACCTTAGGAAATCTATTAGCATAATTGATTATATTAATGACCCAGAGTAAAAATGAACGTAATAATGGAGACAATTGATAAAATTTAACACCATTTCCCAATTAAAAGCTTATACTAAACTAGGAATAGAAAGACATTTCTTTAAAACCATGATGTGTTCTAAGAATATTTAGCATCAACTATGGGTACTTGCTGTTACTGTATTAAAGCTGAATGCCCATTGTGTACATTTCTCAAAATTTTTCTGAGATTTTAGCCAATGTAATAGGAAGAGAGAAAACTTTATTATTTGCAGGTGAAATGATTGTCTATATAAAATTCAGAGGGATTCATTGATAAGCTATTAAAACTAAGATGACATTTGCTCAGTGTGACATGATATAGCATAAATACACAAAAATCAATAGCTTTCCTAAATTATAGCAATGAAAACTATTTCATTGATTAAATCTATAAAATATCTAGGAATGAATTTCACAAGAATTGTGCAAATTTATGTGAAAAGTATGTTTAAAATGTATTTAAAATATAAAAGACCTAGGGGCTAAGGGTGTAGCCCAATGGAAAAGCACATGCTTGGCATGGATGAGGCCTAGGGTTCAATTCACAGCATGCAGCGCGCGCGCGCGCGCACACACACACACACACACACACACACACACACAAAGACCTAAACACATGAAGAGATGTATGAATGGGAACATTCATTGTATTGAAGAAGAAAATTAGGGAAGAGATTCTTTATGAAACAGCAAATATATTACAAAGCTGTAATAATCATAATAGTGTGACATGGCATATGAATAAGCAGATAGTGACTAGAATAGGTAAGAATATTCAGAAACATATATACATACATACAAAAATATGTGTGCATATTATGCAAATTAGCTTGTGATTGATGGTGGTATTTCTAAGTAGTAGGGAAAGAACAGATTATTGAATAAATGATGTTAGAAGAACTGGTTAAGCATTTGTCAAAAATTTCCACAATCTCTTATTAGAACAATTTCATTTCTAAGAATTTATTCCAAAGAGGTTACTAGACAAATGTCTAAACAAGAATGTTCACTGCAGTATTTTTTGGAACAGTAAAAAAATTGGAAACAACTTAAATGCCTATCACAATAGATTATTTCATATTTGCGTATATACCACACGTATAAACTACGGAGTGCCATTACTCTACTTTAAAATAATGAAATCGATTATACATATTTTGATGAAAGTGTATCCACATATTAAATGAAAAAAATCAGGTTCTAAAGCTATATGTATTTTTTGATCTCATTAACAAATGTGTGGAGGCGTAGAGAGGTCCAGAGGATATAACACAACTGTTTCATTTTCTGTGGATAAATACTACTTCTTTGCCTTTAAGAATATTTCACTGTCTTAGCTGTCTTCACCCAGGTGATTTCATGAATGCCTACTTGAGGTCCTAGCTTGAACCCTTTCGTGGGGGAATCTTTCAAGATACTCTCCCCTAGGTGAAGCACACTCTCATGGAATCTTGAACTTGCCATACTGTCTATAAACCATATTGAACCTTTTGTTTTCTTTCCTAGATTCTAAAATCCATTGTAGAAAGCCAGTGTTTACTTCCAAGACTAACAACAATGTCTGGTCATTAACTGACACTTATTTCACTTTTATTATATGTCAAACGCTGTGGTACTTGCTTTCAATAATCTCGCTACGTCCTAGCTAGAAGTTTAATCATCTCCACTTTGAGGAAGAGACAGTCAGGTCAGAAAGCCTGTAGTTGAGTTGGGATTCTCAAGGCTATCTCTTGGCCACTACATTCACTATAAGGTGATCAATAAATACGGGTTCTGTAGGAAGGAAATACAACCAGCCGTAGCTTGTGGATCACTTGGTAGGAGACAGCAGTGAGTTTTTAGCGTTGGAAAAGTGTGGTTGGATTTCAACGCCTTTACAACGCAGGTATCCGTAAGCCCCGCCCACGACGACCGCGCGCGGATGCCCGGAAGGGAATGGTAGGGGCGGGGCGATCTTCCAGGGGCGGGAGGAGCCATCGCTGATTGGCTGGATTTAGGCGGAAGTTGGGAGGTTCGGTGGTCCGAAGACGCTAGCTTGTGACAGGGAAGGGGTGAAGGAAGGCGTCTGTAAAGAGTGCCTCTTCGTTCCTTTCTCCCGGGGAACCTTGGGATAAAAAAACAACATCCCGGCCCCGCGGCTAGCCCCTTCCTCCAGGCTCTCTCCGCTCGATTCCGCCACCGTTATGTGGGAAGCGAATCCGGTGAGTTGCCGGGCGGGACGGGGCGGGCCTAGTGGGCGGGGTTGATGGGAGAGTGGCTGAGGGGGTTCCCGGGAACTGCTCCCCGCACCCGCTTCAGGCCGGGTGTTTTGAGTTCCGGGATTTTGAGCTCTGCGGTTTTGATAGGTGGAGATACTCTGTCTCAACGCTGTATTGCCACCTTTTCCCAGTTCATTTTACTTCCGGGGGCGTCTCTGCCTTCCTTCACTGTTCTGTTTAACTTTGTGTTTTGTCTTGTCCGTTCTGGATGGGGGAGCTCCTGTGTTCCAAGTGTCTGCGGGTTGAAGCCCTTTGATGTCTGTAGTGGCAGGACCGGTGATCCTGAACGTCTCGCCTGCGATCCCGTCCCGTGTCTGCCTCGATATTGATTGGTCTTTTGTCTTCTTTGCTTTTATACGTTTATTTCAAGTGCAACCCTCAAAGAGCCGTATTTGTCTCCCAAGGGTGTCCATTCATCCCCGTGTGGTTGAAAGTGCCTAGTACATGACAAATGGACACTTTGCATCTTAGAAGTTGACTGCCCAAAGTGGCAGAATCACATTTAAACAAGTTTCTAGATTTAATATGAAATTATCCCTTTTGCTGAGATAACTGTCTAAATTCATTTTAATAACCCTCAGAATCCATACTTAAAATGGTCACGACTGTCTTCCTCTTCCTATTTCTGGAGTATGTTTCTGTATAAGTTTATAGTAAAGCCCTTTACATTTTTAAGTTCTTATCCAGTAGAGACAAGCCTATTGGTTTGGGTTAGATACCTGCACGTTGCAGTTCCATTTCAGTCCATCTTATCAAATATTTTTTTGATCCATACATATAATACTATAATCCGTGCAAATTAGAAAAGTGATTGCTTGTATGTGATTTTTAGCAAAAATAATTTTAGAATTATGAGAATGCTCTGTTTATATATTCAGTTTCACTATCTGCCATCAACAACCTTCATTTTATATTAATGTTCGTACATATATAGATATATATTCAGCTGGCAGAGTGGCTCAACTGGTAGAGCACCTGCCTTGCAAGTGTGAGGTCCTGAGTTCAAACCCCAGTACTGCCAAAAAAAAGAAAAAAATGCATATATATATTCAGGTTTTTTTAGCAGTTTTTTTCTTCTTGATTCTCCATAACCCTTTACTCACCTACATGCATGACTTGGTCAAGGTCACGTGTTCTAAATCCTTCAGTATATTGTAAGCTCCTTATGAGTGTAGAGTTTTTTGTTTACTGTAGTATCTTTATCTGGAGAACAGATCCTGTCACAGAATAAATATTTGTCGAATTCTTCATGTTCATTCTTCCTTCTGTATTATGCACACATCAGAATTTACTATTGGGTCATTTGTATGTTTGTGAGAATTATAACGGTATTAATGTATGTGTCATTTATTTGGTTTATAATGTCATTATCCTGGGTCTTTGTCAGAAATGCCCAGTTTTCGCTGCAATCACTGTTAAGATTTTTCTTGATTTCAGCAGAGCAAGCTGACTTTTATTCATAGGAGTAAGCTTTTCACATGTAGTCCCATGTTCTTTGACCCTGAGCCACCCTAGTATGGCTTAATGCTACTATGTTTTATTTTGTATGGATACTGTTTTTCTTCCTGTGAGTCTATGAATGCTGCCAATCAGCACACCTTAGTTTTTATTTATTTTTTAGTTTAGTTTTTAAAAATAACATTCTATGCATGGGTTTCTCTAGTAGTTTGTGAGTTTCTTTTATTAGAAGAGGTATCAGCATATTCTGTCCAGCTAGTCTTATGAAATAAAAATTGTTAGCCTATGGATTCAGATTTGGGTTTGAAATCCAAATAAACAAGTACGGAAAAAAAAAAACAGCAAGAAAAATGCAGATGACTTTGGGATTGCTGACCACTTTAAGTCACTATTTACCATTTCCTCCCATTGAATGAGATAAGTTCTTTTTGTGAGGACAGACTGTTATTTGGTGACTTAAGGTGCTACAAATATACCTACCATGTGATACTGTGTTCCACTACAAGGGTTTTTAGGAAATGTTACATTGACCCTGACCATGGACCTACACAGCAGCAGTCTCCCTTTCCGTGTAAAAAATCTCCAGGAAATACTTGAATGCGGAAAATCACGCCTGACCTTGCCAACATGTACTTGGAGTGGGGGGGATGGGGAGAACCGGGGGTGGGTGTGGGGGCGGAGGACCCAAAACAAGCTAACCAAAGAGCAATAAACTGCATCTCAGATCATAATTTTGTTTTATTTTTGAAGATGGACAGAAGGTCTGTGATGGTTCTGTTTATGTCTTTCATTGACCAGGAACCTTGAGGTGAGTATCAGGTTCCTGCCAAGGCTGGTCAGTTTAACAGAGGCAGCAGGTGTTGTCTTGTGAGCTCTGGGCCTTTCTCTGTCCAGGTAGGGAGTCCAGGACCAAAATCTCCCCATTTAGGAAGGTGACAAAGTCTGTAAAAAGATTCGGAGGTTGCCGTCACAGTTTTGACTGCCCACCCTGCCTTTATCCTGTTTTCCTCGGCTCTTTGTCCTTGTTTTATTTCTCTTTGCTTGGATTGGAATAAGAAGTTCCCTGGAATTGTGTTACACAGGAGAGAGTTTTAGCTTTGTCATTCTGATAAGGGAAATTGCAAAAATGACAAACATCTATTCCAGAGCACTTGATAGGAAATGTCAAACTCTACCAAAATTCTGTTTTATTTGTAGTGAGCTTACATTATCTGAACAATCTGATGAGTTAGCTAGGGGAGAAGAAAATGATTTTCGTAAGATCAACACATTATGATTGTCTTAATACTTAAGTCCTTTTTCCACTCCATCTGACCCTTGGTAGCAACGATAACATTTGTATGTTGGTGCAGTTCTTTATCTGAAACTCTGCCCTTTTTTTTTTTTTGGTCATTTTATATTCACAGCTGCTTCTCAAATCTCTTAGCTATGATTCTAGCTCTCCTTTTTCTGTCAATTTGCTTGACAGAATAAGCAAATTTTTGTGTATTTTTTGTCATCCTTACCCATACCTTAGCTCCTTCCACCCTGCTTCTGTCCCTTATGCTTTACTTGACAAGAGATCACCAAGAACCTTTGAATCACCACATATAGGTGGCAACTTCGGTCTCTTTTGTCTTTCAGCAATTTTGAAGCCATTAGAGACTTTCCTTAAAAATCTTCCTTTTTGTTGTCTCTGTGGGTTTCATCTTGCTGTGATTTGTCTTTGAATTATAATCCTGACTGAGCTGCACAGCTTTCTCCTACCCCTGAAATATTCTACCTTGCATCTTTTTTTTCCCTTAGCACATCCTTTTTTGATGACCTCCAAGGCTTCAAAAATACTACTGTAGTGAATATTCCTGCTGAGTGTACATCTTTAATACTGACCCCACTCCTGAACAGGTGGTGAACAACTCTATTATTGTCCTTCTGATAGTGCAAACTTTGTATGTATATGCAGAACTCACTCAGTCATTATTTCATTCCATTTCAAATAATTAGCAAATGTCTACTACATATAAAATAAACACTATTCTAGACACTAGAGAGAGGAAATACAGAAATGGATCAAATCAGAGCCTACCCCTTGCAAATTTGCAGTATAGTTTGGTAGGAGAAAGTGGTATCAGAGGGTGTCACGGACTAGGAAGGCTTAGTGAAGTAAGTTACATTTGAGCTAGGTCCTCGAGTTATGGAAGTGGTCATATGGGAAGTTCACAGGAAGCAAGGTGACGAAAGTCCATGGAAGTAAAAGAATGGCAAGTACAGTTTGGATAAAGGATAGAGGTGAAGAAAGTTCTTATCTGAAAGTCTCAGTATAGGCATCTTCAGAGATGGAAGATGGAGGGTCATGGGCACTTGCCACTAGCACTCATGGCATAGCTCTTCTGTGGCAGGCCAGATATTTTATAGATACATTCAAGACTGGGCTGGAAATGGAGGTAGAATGTGTTCCCTGCAGTGAAACCTCTATAGAGACATAGTGTCTATGAAGATGTGTTCCTGACAGTGGAATTTATTACCTTGAAACAACATACAATCAAGAGTTGTTCAGCTGGTGGAGTGGTTCAAGTGGCAGAATACCCACCCAGCATGTGTGAAGCCCTGAATTCACACCCCAGTATCGCAAAGAAAAAAAACCACTCCATTTACTACCATCTTTATTTTCTTTGGCATTCTTTGGCATTCTTCTAACAGTGATTGGTAAGTATGAGTATTAATATGACCCATATCCACCTGAGGCTGGGAAAATAGGATGGCAGTGGCAGAAGAGCATACTCACAGGAGTGAAGCATTTGGTGGCGGGGGCAGTGTGGGCACTTAGTTATCTAATACTTTTGTTATATAGAGATTTTAAAATTATTATCTTCATTTTTTTTTTAGTAAAAATATTAAGGCTCAAAGTTTTGTGAACTTTTCGAACAAGGACAGAACCAGATTTTAAATCTAGAACTTTCTGGCTCTGGAACACATACTCTTCCTAGGACACAAGATATGCAATGGGTAGAAAGTGACCTATGAAGAAAACTACAAGGAGTCAGAATTTAAGGAAGAATTCCTCATTTTAAAAAGAAAAATAAAACAAAAAACCAAAAACCAGCCATGACTGTGGCCTCAATGTCCATGTTTTCCTAACTTTTTTTCTAGTGGTGCAGCACAGGGGTAAGAGTAGAGAAATAGTGGGCCAGTCCCCAGGACTGGTGTGGCAAATCCAGTGCCAGGCCAAGGAAATGAGTCTAGTAGTTTTCAGTATCAGGGAGGATAACAAATTTGGGATGGAGGTGGAAGGCCCGTGTTTGTAAATGTGATATGGAAGTAGGGGGTGAAAAAGTGGCCTGGATGTGACCCTCCTGCCTGAAATTGAGTCTTTAGCTTGTGCAGCTTACCTTCCAGGAGTTAAACCTGATGGCACTCTTGTTTATTAGGCACCTATTGCAAGCCCGTTGGTACTGAGCCCAAAAGCATATTATAGTGATGATCAGAATCGATTAGGCTCCAGCCCT